GGTCTGCGCAGTGGACCATACATCGGACTGTGTGATAGTGTAGAAGAAGTGAACAGTGTAAATAAATAATCAGAAGAAGTGCGATAGTGTAAATAAATAATCAAGAGAACGGAGTCGTGCGTAAGGAAAATAATCAAGTGAAGAACACAAGGACTGTAATATAACTGTTTATATCAAGTATTTTAGTGTAGCATTGTTTAAAAATAAACGTTTTTGTTTAAAATAATACCTGTGCGTGCGGTTTAATTCACCACCGAGAAACGTTACAATATTAATATGCATAAATAATAATTGTTAAATATTTATTGACAAATTTATCAATACGTACAAATTGTTAAACTAAATTATTTCTTGTTAGTTAATTTGCATTTTAATAGAAAATAATTAAATTAAAAATTATAATGGTCGTCGGAACAAAATATTTTTACATATTATCTAACAAAAAACTTTCTTGTAACAATGTGATAATTATAATTATGTATAATTTTATAATAAATTATATTAAATTATACATTAATTTTTATAACTATATTAATGATATATAAATTAATATAAGGTAAAAATAATGATATATAATTTTAAATTTTAGCGGAATTTCAAATTTTTCTAGCGGGAAACGAGAAGTTCCGTTTAGCGGATTTTTAGCGGAAATTTAGATGCCATCTAGCGGTAAAGCCCATATGCGAAACTGCAACACTGACTACCACTGACTACGACTACGACCACGACCACAACTTGTGGTGCTACAACAGCACAACAAGTACATTCTCACATTAATACTAGATTTTCAATTTCCAAGTGTTATGAGAGATCAACGATAATGAGACCCGCGCCATTCTTTTAAGCGTCACTTCTAATTGTGGAAAACGTTAACCGCGTTAAAAACGTTAAAATTACACGTTAACTACTCATATTTTCATGACATTATTTCACGATCTCCCTTTAAAGAACAGATTTCATAAGGAAAAAATCTTCAATCTTCAATATTGTAGTTGCAGCAAGAGGCCTCCAAAAATATAATTTTTGCAATTTTAGAAAAATGAGGGATTTCAAGGAACACGAAACCTGCAGATCCTGTGCCATTCTCTTAAGCGTCCTTTACGCTAGTCAAGGACAAAATTTATCACAAAAATTTTGAGAACATTTTGATGTTTTGAGACTTCCTGAAAAGTTTCCTCAAAACCCCAAATATATGAAACTATCCGAAGTGACTAAGATAAGTGCTTGCAAATCCGAAGTACCCGAGTTACTAATATAATTCCAGTATAGGCATTTTTTACCTATTGCAAATCGTTTCACTGCTTCTAATAGTATTACATATTACATAACCGTACGAAATAATTCCATAATTCTGTTGTTGCACCACGAGTTGAAATTGTCGCGATTTCACTGAACACGACGCGAAAAATTCCTCATTTACAAACCAGTAGTTTATTTTGAAACGTTTATCCCTCCTTCGCAGATTTAATTTTGTTCTTGTATACATTGGGCGAAACCGTTCTTTCACGTTATTTTAGAATCTTTATTGGTCTTCATTGATGGTTTATCAAATCCACACATTTAATTACTGTGAACACTATCATAAGGTTGGTGGTAACTGTTTTTATCAGCTGTGAGATTCCCGATTGTCCCCCGCAGGTAGCTGTCTGCGTGCCCATGGTGGAAATACATGGGCGAGTTCGATTTTACTCGCACCGATTTTTGCTCGTTCTGCGCAGTACCAGTTTTCGTCACGAACCACGTGACCACTGCACTTCTGATCTGAAAAGACAGATCAGACGCTGGCCGCCATGTTGCATGGGGAACGAGAAGTGTCGATAAACATTTTGAAAATGATACTTTTAATCGGTGACCAATCGAAAATAACACGAAGGTGTAAAAGATACAATATTTACAAGAAATGCTTCATAAATGTTTCAATGTCTTTAACGAGGTAATAATTTTGGTATCTGGCTATATTTAAAATTCTCGCTAGTATTGTGACACAAACTGGTGTCTGAAGCTCATCGGCTCTAGTCTGATACGATGCCCAAGAGCCCCCACTGAGCATGCCCGCCAATGCAATTCCATGACGCGACCCGCGACGCGTTCGATCTCTATTGATCGATTTATAAACTTGCACTTTTTAGGAAGTTTGTGCAAGCCATGGCGAACAGCACTATCGATCTTCTGCACTAAAGTGATGTGAAACATGAATTGTGTATGCGCAGCAAATCGATAGAGCTTTAACGTTCAAGGGTAACAAAAGGGAGTTTGTACATCCTCGAATGTTTACAGCAATCGAAAGTACTATCGATCTTCTGCGCATGCGCAATTCACATTCTGCACCACTTTTCCATCTACTGCGCGCACGCGAATACCTTCATAACGGCAAGAATGTAAAAATACGAACATTTACATTGTTGTTCAAATAATGCAATATGATTGTGTTTCTCGAAGAAATTTCTTCTCTTTATTCTTATACCTCAAAATGTGTCTCATTTCGTCCATTAATAAATAAAATTATAGGCATTGAAATGATTAGTACAACTTAGTTAAGTGTATTATGATTAAGTCTTGAAATGCGTATTATGATTAACAATGATAAATAGTATGAATTATCGTATTAAGTGATTTAAATTACGAATAATGTCAAAAGCTTTAAAAACAGTAAAGATTGACCGTGGTATTTGTGGAAGTTTTTGGACAATTTAATTGTGAAATAATACTATAAAAAATCTTCGTATATTCAGAACTTTCATCAGTAATTTGTAATCCTCATTTGTAAAAATTCTTAGGCATGATTCTACTCATCTCCGACTTAAAGCCGCAGGGCATTTCTACCACTAGTATTTGAAGGCGATCCCAGCAATGATTCGGAGTATTATTCACTAGTGCGAAGACAATGGATTGGTTTTAATTATGACGATCGAGATTTTGTCATGAGGTTATGTTTGACCAAATCAACAGTTTAACTACATCAGATATATTGTAAACTGTAGAGAACTTGTAAATTTCGTTTTCACCCATGTGGATACAAAATAAAGGTAGTACGTACCGTAAACGATAACAAAAGAAGAAATAATAACTACAGGGACTACAAGTACTAAGACATACTTATTTATTTAGTAAAAACTGTATGTGACGTATGAGGGAGATTATTTGCGCACATTTTCTTGAGTTCCTGAATCCCTTTTAAACATTTTAACTACAAATAGTTGAAAGGTGAATAAAAGTTTAAAAAATAAAACAAATAATAATATTAATAATAATGATAATAATAATAATAATAATAATAATAATAATAGAAACAACAACATTTGGAAAACGCGAGAACAGCACAACATTTGAAAAAAAAACATTTTCGTTTGCGAGATATGATTGATTTGCACTGCCATGGGTAAACGAACTGCAAATTTGATTTTTCTGCATTGCTAACAAAATAGTAACTCATCGCCAGAGAAGAATGAATATTTATTAAGAAGTAAAGATACATAAATTGAGAAATAAACTATGCTAACTCAAATCACTATTACACCACAGAAGATAACGCCAAGACACTGCCAAGAACTCTGAAACTGAAATGAATGATAGCCAAAAGGAAATAATCAAAGGTTCGCACTGGTCCGTAGTGGTTCCCAGCGTCACTCTTGCTCACAGCCTCTTGAATAGCTCTCATATATTGCGCGTTCAGCTGATTCGCGAAATAAATAGAGTATGTACTCTAGAGTAAAATAACCCCCTAGAAGCATGGTGAAACGCTTATATTTTACTCGAGAGTTACTATCTAACAGTAAATGCACCTACTCGGGTAACTACTCTCAACTTTACTCGGCTGTTGGTGAAACCGGCCCTAAGGGATCCAGCAGCGGTCACATACCGGTGAAGTGAGTCTTTCACTAGGACTGAGTGAAGCGGGAGGGGATGCCACAAGCTGGACGGGCGGACGGCCAGATGGGCGGCCGGCCGGACGTTTTGCCGTCAATTATTTTTCGGTATCAAAGACAACATGGATACTGAGCACACAACGTGTTAGAGTAAATAATTTACTGAATTACGGAGACCCGGAGAGCAGAGAAGTCAATTCTAGAGGCCGGCTGCTCCGATTGGCAATTTTCCGTGTTTTCTCCGATCAACACCAGGGGAATACCGGAGCAGTACCCTAACAAATGGACCACGGACCGTGTGGGATCTTTCCTTCCTCTTCCTTGACATATCCTCACCTCTAACGTACACAAACACTGTTATACACTATACTACCTCGAATGCAGGGAGCTCAGAACTTGTCCCGGCAGGGGCAGTGCCCTGCTGGTGGGAGATACCTGGTTGAGGAAATCTCGCTAGCCGAAGGTAGGTCGGCGCCGGATCTTGCCTAGGTCGATGCCGTATCTTGCCATGCAGCGGGGCAAGATCACAGCCGCCTCCCGAGGAAACATTCACTACACTTACGGGAATAATGACCTCCGTAGTTGACGCGCCCGGAATCACTAACAACCAACCTGAATATAGGATCAAGATTTATCAACTTTTCTTTCGCCGGGGCCCCGGAACAGGAGTATTTGTTGCATGTATTTGTTTTGTATACATTGTGGTATAGTATTGTTAGTATCGTAAAACCAAATGTATGTACTCATTCAGTAACTATGTACAAGGGCTCTTCGCTTGTTTCTTGGGCTTCTAATTGATGCAAATAATCCTTTATGTTCAAATCCTCCTCGTTGATGCAATTAATGCTCTATGTTCAAATGTAAACCTGCGTATTACTCGAATGTTATCCGTAATTAGTACGAATACTGGCGTTTTCCTACCGAATATTCGCGGATATGCGGCGGGCGAATGCAATTCTTCCGCATCTTACGAAGTAAGAGCGTGAAAGTAAAAATCAATCCTCGCTTCTCCAGAACCTACATCAGTTATTTGTAATCCTCATTTGTGAAATTCTTAAACATGGTTCTACACATTTCTCACTTAAGAGTCGTAGAGATTTCCTCTAATCATGAGCTCCAGCAGCGATTACTTACAGCAAAACTGAGTCCTTAAGTAGGACGGGGTGGGGCGCTGACGAAATGCCACCCGACTCTTGAGTCGCGGACGGGCTGCCTTCAGCCTCGTGAAGGGCGTCTCTAGGGCCCATTTCCAAGATTGCACTAGACCACCCGGCTGTTTGCATATGAGCAGTGCTCCTGTGGCATAAAAAATCATTTTTTTGAAATTATCAACTTTAAGTATGTTAAAACATAATGGAACTATGCCACAATTTAATCGTAACTACGCCATTTTGTAAAAAGTCGACTTTCCAAAACCAACATTAGTTATTTGTTAAGCTCATTCGTCAAATTCTTCAACATGATTCTACGCATTACTGACTTAGAGCTGCAGGGCTTTCCTCCCAGCTCTAACAGGGGTCACTAACCGGGAAAGTGTGTCTTTGACTAGGACTGGCTGAGCCGCGGATGAGATGCCACCAGCCTCTTGAGTGGAAGACAGGCTGCCATCAGTTTCGTGAGGGGCGTCGCTGGAGCCCATTTCCAAGCTTGTACTAGACCATTCGGGCGTTTGCTTATGAATAACGCTCCCACATCTTTAAAAAGAATTTCTTTTTTTTAAATTGCAAATAGGTTACATTTCAAAATTACAAAATTGAAGATGGAGATTTTTACCTTAAACATAATCTGTTCTAAAAAATCAGCTCTTTAAAAAAAGGACAAATACATTTTTTAAAGAAACAAGTAGATTTCACGTAATTTCAACACTTTCTTCTTGCGAATTAGGTCGAGAAAGTAAAAATCAAACCTCGCCTATCCAGAACATACATAAGCTATTTTTAATGAGCATTTGTCAAATTCTTCAACATGATTCTACGCATTTCCGATTTACAACGGCAGGGTTTTTCTCCTACTGAGGGCTTCAGCAGCGGTCACTTACTGGAAAAGTGCGTCTTTCGTCAGGATCGTGTGGGGCATTGACGTGATGCCACCAGCCTCTAGAGATGCGGACGGGCTGCCATCAGCGGCGTGAGGAGCGTCGCTGGGGCCCATGTGCAAGCCTTCTCTAGACCACCCGGGTGTTTGCATGCGGACAGTGCTCCTGCGGCAAAAAAAAGGAAGTTCAATTTTTCAAATTATCGACATTAAGCAGAATTTAACGATAATCGGATCCATGCTATGTTGTCAAGCGCACGTTGCCCTATTCCAGTTACAAAATTAAAGGAAATATTGTGCCGTTTTTAAAAACATAATCGTTTAGTTTTTTTCTCTTTTCAAATTGTCACTACTTTGTTCTAAATTACGCAAAAACGACGAACATTTACTTTGTGATCCATTTTTTAAAAATTTGTTGCGTTATTGTTCACGCAACGCGTCTTAACTATTGTAGGACATTGAGCCCCTGGAGTAATCTTACGTTATCTTTTTTTGTCAAGTCTCGTCACGTCTCAGTCAGTTAGACAGTGCCTTTTATTCCTTCGGCCAGAGGCTCGTCGCTGTTATTAACCAAGGTTTCCAGACGGTCACCAGCCTAGGAACCCGCGGTGATTTGAATTGCTTGACTTCCCAGACTTAACGCATCGTAGGCACGCAATTCGAGTAACGATGCCGGTCTGACTAGTGTTTGACATATGAAGAACACACATCAATGAGAAAATAGTAGTGCACATTCTTTCTCGCATTATTTCTAACTTTGCAACTTCCGAAAATTCAGTGAGTTCAACGAAATTGAGACCCTCACCTTTCTTTGAAGCGACCATATGCGTGGACAAAGTTCGAAGAAAATACTAGGAGCGGTTATTGAGAAGAATTTTTCTTTAAAAGTATCATAAATTTCAGACACAAATTACCCGAAATTTACTAGTTTCTTCAAAAATGGTAACTGACCTACAAAGACATGATTTTTTACAACAAACTTTGTTTAAAGCAAAAATTGCTATCTCCAATTATCAAATCGGGGAATATCAAATTTGGAGAAAATCGACTGAACGGTTTAGGTGCTATCGTTGACCTCAGAAGACAGGAAGACGTTTTGTCGTCGATCGATTTTTCGGTATCAAGAACCCCAAAAAATGCAATAACAGTTTTTTCTGATGAAAATTTGCCGTTTTCATATCTTTTCTTACAGGGTACCATGGGTAGTGTCTAAAATGTATCTACATTTCATGTTGATAGATTGAGTAGTTTTATTTAAATCGGTTCACACAGGTGGGCAGACAACTGATTGGTCGTGTAATAAGCTTTAGTAATCGAATAAGTAGGTTGAAAAAGTTTTGGTAGTATTTAAGAGTAGTTCTTCAAATCATTTTCAATAAAGTTTCTTGAAAACTAAATAAATTTCAAAGAAAATGTGCATGTTCAGAACAGCTAAAATATTTTCTCGAACTCTATTTCAAACTTTTCAAGGAAAATTTGCATATAGGACTGGGTTTTCCCGCCTCAGCCAACTCTTATCTAGCTAATAACTTTCTATTTTTACGAAATTCCTTTCGTAAGAGCGCAGAAGTAAGCATGTGCTAGTCCCATTTTTGGCGAACTCTGTATATGGGAAAGTCGTAAAAATTAAGTGTTAAAAAATCTTGCGTTGACACAACTAACCAAGTCTGCCCAATTTGGTACTTTACGTTTCTTCCGCGGCGGAAGTATAGGTCAATTAATCGGCCGTTAGACGCCCAGTTAACTCGAACCTAGAGGCGAAAAACCAAAAAACAAGTTTTGTTAGTATAGAGAAATTTATGTATTTGATAAATGATAGATATGATATATTTATGTATTTGTTAAATATTTGATAGATGTTCCTAGCAAAATGTTTTGGAATTGACTCGCATATACCATGAGTGCATGTCAGATATTTCCACAAAAAATTATGTACTCCATCTACCCTTGGAACTTTCCAATTGTGAGTTCTCTTTATAGATCCTTTTCCAACTTCTGTTGAAATCACAACTCCATTTCCGGGATTTTTGACAAGCCTCTTCCTCCTGTCGTACCCAGTATGCTTCATTAAAATATTGCTTTGGGATGGACCAAATCTAAGACCAAAAGTTCGTCATGGCAAAAGCACTGGGAGGGGGGGTATGTCATTGTTATTGGTACCTCTCGTCTCTAGATATCTATAAAAGCCTTTTCGGTTGTTAGAGAATAGGGAATTTTCTTTCTTGCGTCGCGTGGATTCATTATACTTTCTTATTCTTGCCCCTAGAGCTACTAGTCTTGGTCATAATCTCTCATCTTCAACCTGGAGTCTACTGTTCCAGGATTCCGTGTTCTTTTCATCTTCAGTCTTCTGAGAATTGGGTGAATAGTTGCGCGAATCTTCTTTGAAATCCCTCTTTTGTCTATTATTATTATTATTATTATTATTATTATTATTATTATTATTATTATTATCATCATCTTTAGAAGAGGGGAAATTATTTATGGAGACCGGTGAAGCCAATACTGTCGGACTCCCGTTTTTGGTTTACCAACTAAAACCCTAAACCTCCATCTCCTAAGTCGTGATTTCTCCCACGCGGAAACCGTCGCTAGACATTACTTCGCATGGAGTATTGATTGGAAGCTAGTGCTTCAACTCTTCCACTCCTTTTCGTACACGATATTAACTTAAGTAGTTCTCTGTTATAGTCCACTTGTCCGAACTCATCATGTCCACCATGTTTTCTTGAGTTATCACTTGTTGAAGCTTAACGTAGCAAATCTTCCTTTCCACATCCCTTTCCACATCCCCATGCCTTGCACTGAAGCAGTATATGCTCCGCATCGTCAACATCTTCGCGACATAAGGTACATATCGGTATTTCTTTAATCTTGTAATCATAAAGGTATTTACCAAAGCCACTGTGTCCCGTAAAATCCTGGGATAAGTAATAATTCACCTCCACATACTTTCGACCGACCCATCTCTCAATGTTATTAATTATTCGATGTGTCCATCTACCTTTAGCGTCCACATTCCACCTTCTTTGCCACTCTTCAAAAAGTAGTTTCATAGCCTCACTCTTAATAGTCTCTATTTCCTTGGGAGGGAGATGACTGTTTACTTGTTGAGCTTCCTATGAGACGGAGTACGTCCTTTTCATTTTGGATAGCTATCAGATCGATGGGCGGGATACTGGCCAATACTAGCACTGCGCAAATAGACACCGTACGGTAGGCAGCCGCCACCCTCAGGGCCGTTCGTCTTTGCACTTGAGCATACTTATTTGTCATAACCTGTTTTTCCAATGAACTCGCTCAGACTGGTGCTGCATACAACAATTGTGAACAATTGTGAATGAACTACTCCAGATATCAACCTTCTCTTGGCTTCTCGTGGTCCACCTACATTCGGTAGTATTTTTGCTAAGTTGTATCCTGTCCTCGCTGCCTTTTCTGACATGACACTTATGTGTGGCCCAAGCTTAAGTCTTCTGTCTATCTCAACCCCTAGATATGTTATTTGGCGCTTCCAGTTTATTCCCTCTTCTCCCAGTCGGATATCGGGAAAGCGAAAAGCCCTCCGATCGGTAATTAACACAGCTTCAGTTTTTCCTACTGCTATCTGAAGAAGTCGCCTGTCTAGCCATCTTTCAACTCTAAAGAGTGCTTCAGTCACTCTTAGTTCAAGCACCTCAATATCGTCACTATGACTTATTATTAGTGTATCATACGCGTATCCTCTAATCTGCGTATTTCTGGAAGGTTAATACTCAATACACCATCATACAGGACATTCTATAAAAAGGGGCCAAGTCTGGACCCTTGTGGAACTCCGTACGTCATAGTTCCTTCAATCTTGATGTTATCCATATAAATTGTCTTCCTATCATGAAGGTACCAAGAAGGTCATCGACGATCCTTAACATCTATTCAGGGACCCCCCTGCCACCCAATGCTTCCATGACGTCATTCCACCTGGGAGAGTTGAAGGAGTTTCTAATATCAATAACTATAAGTGCGAAGAATCCCTTCTTTCTCCCAGTTCCATTTCTAGCTGCATCTCCGATGCGAACTACTTCTAAAATCGCATCCGCCGTCGCACAACCTTTCTGAAATCCATATTGTGTATGAGAAAAGCTTATATATTCAAGCCTTGAGATTATTAGCCCCTCCAGTAACTTGCCCATAGTATCAAGAAGGCACAGTGGTCTATACGACGATGTCCGTTCCAACGGTTTCTTGCCCTTCCGGAAGAGTATCAGCTTTTGTTTCTTCCAGTTCTTGTAAAAGTTCCCTTCCTTAAGGCATCTATTATAGACTGCCAGATGACATTCTGGATATACTTGTACCACTAATTTGAAAATTTCGGTGGGGATCCCATCCAAGCCTGGTGCCTTTACGGTTTTCATATTCTTCACTGCTTTCCGCAATTCGTCTCTCGTAAAGTAATCAACATCATTGAACATAAAATCATTCTGTCTTTGCCTCACCCAGCGATCTCTTATGGGAAAGAGCTCTCTAATAGCTCCCTTCATCCACTGTGGGTCATTCAGGTAAGATATTTTGGAATCCATCCGAAACTTCGTCACTATCTTATACGCCATACCCCAAGGTTCATTATTAATCTGCCTTAGGAGTGCCTTCCAACTTCTACTTTTTCTCCTTTTAATTTTTTAGCAGATACCCTCTCCATGTTAATCTGAAGGAGTCAAAGTATACATGATATTTTTTCTTTTGATCACTTCCTAACATATGTTGATTCTCTTTGTTTTTGTCTTTACATCAAACACATTGTTCTCGGTTGGTACAGTTCTTAACAACGTATACGGTTCTACCACATCTGTAATATACTTTGCTACAATCAGGACCTCTGCAATCTGTTGAAATATGTCCAAAGTCTAGACATCTTGTTATGTGGAGTTTTTGCCTGATTCTACAGTAAACTCAGCAGATCTTAATATTTCTGCGTTTTGATTTATCTCTTCTCCCATCAACATTGTAGCTGATTGTATTCCTCCGTATCCTCTGCGCATCCTACAGGGGATGGGCATCTAGTCTATTGAGTCTAGGCGTCTAGTCTAGTCTATTGGTAAGAGTAGATGTAAGGGCGAGTTGCTATTTTGTTAGCAATGCAGAAAAATCATACTTTCAATTCGTGTACCGATGCAAATACGTTTTCTATAACTCAGCAACGAAAATTATTATTTTTCAAATATTGCTAATCTTGCTATTTTTAAAATTTATTTTTATTTATTTATGTTAAACTTTAACTCATCTTACAATTATTTATAGTTAAAATGACGGGAAGGGATTCTCGAACTCATGAAAACGTGCGCAGATAATTTCCTCCCCTTACGCCATACAGTTTTTACTGTTTTTTGTTTGTATAAACCAAAATATAAATAAAAAATCTACAGATCTAAATCTAACTCTTGTTGCTATCCATCGCCGGGCAAATTGCAATATTTTGAAATTTTCTCAATTTTTCGGTTTCCTAATAGGAGAATCAAAATAAATTTTTAAGAATATAATAGAGTAAATCCTCGTCCTAAAAGGAAATTTTTGTTTAATATTTTTGAGTGTTTAAGCGTTACTGCAAATACGAAATTTGCAGCCCTTTTTCACAGAATTCTTTTTGAGTTTTCGAAAAACTTTATTGAAGACGTTTGAACCACTTCTAATCAGAAAGGCAATAATGTATACAAATCGCTGGGAATGTGCATATTGAAGACGTAATAGATAAAAAAAAAACATTTGTGTAATTTTTGATAAAAAAGAAGGTACAATGAATTTTAAGTCGTCTTAAACAGTGCAATAAGCACTAACCATGCAAAAATTTCGAAGAAAACATTGCAAACAATTTTGGGAAAATAGCGTTTGAGAGTTTCTGAAAATGCGTAATTTTGAGATCATTTTCACAGAAATCTTCAAAGTTTCCACAAAATTTATTAGATATCATTCAAAGCTCACTTATAAATGAAATAATGTGAACAAATCGCAGTTAATAAAAATTTTAACGACGAAAGAGACAAGCCACAAAAATTAAATTGTATTTTTTGAAAAAAACAAAAGTATAGAGCAGAATAAGCTTCTATATCTCGTGCAGTACATTTAGCAGTATCTCTTCTAAAAATTTAAAGAAAAAATTGGAACCTTTTTTCAGAATATCTTGTATTTTTATTTTTTTAAATATTGCACATATTGCACAGAAAGGCAATTTTACACAATATTGCGCAAAAACGTATAAAATTATTTAAAAAAAGGCGTGACCTTACTGAAAGAACTAATTATGGTGAACGAATTTTACTTGAAAAAATTTTCTAACTCCGAGTTTGTAGTTCCAGAAATTTAAGAGTTAACAGTGAAAATCGGTCCTATGCCACCTTTATAAGTGCATCTCTCTCCATTCCTACGAGAAATTGAAAGAAAAAATATGGTGCAATTTTTGAGAAAATTTGGAAAATATCCCAGGGTCTTCAGGTAAAGTACCTCCAGCAAGTAATGAATGTTCTTCAAAATCGCAGAGCTTCCAGTGAGGCAAGATTGACAGGGGTTTATTCAGTTTGGAAAAAAAAAAACTAATCATAGTTTAGCTGTTAGTGTTGTTCACAGACGGACGGACGGATAGACAGAAAGAAGATGGACGGTTTAAAAAAAAAACAACACTTTTCGGTGTGTGGGCGCTCCAAAACCTGTATTTCGGTTGAAATTTCGAAATGGATTTTTTCGCAGTATTAACTATACACTCCGTATATACGTACGTAAACGAAAAGTAAAAAAAAAAAAAAGATAAAGACGAGATTACAACGAGATAATTCTGAATTAAATGTCTGATGTGCTTTTCATGAATAACAATGTTAATTTGTACGAATGTTCTCATTTGTTAAGAATATATTTAAAAGCTGTTGCGTCACTAGAAGTTTCACCATGAAAGGGAACCCCTGAATAAGATGGTAAAACATTCCCCTCAACCAAACGACATAAGTAGTTTTTTGTTGAGTGCTTCTGCGCTTTCGGAGTAATCATCCATTAACAGTATGTCATACCCGTCACGTCTCGTCGCAGTCAGTTGTCAAGACGACGGCCAATAGCATCTCGCAGCATCTCCGCGTACGCGCCTCCTAGTCACTACTCAGCGGCAAGAATTGGGAATGAATTAGGATTGGGGTAGGGTTGAGGACACTTCTGAAGGGTTGGACTAGCCCCTATGAAGCATGCAAATTCGGCCGTAACAAATTTCACATGCGGTTCTACGAGGATTCAACGGGAATCGAACCGGGAACCTCGAATGTGAAAGACAATCGACTTTCGACACTGAACCACGAGAACATTACAGTTAGTTACAGTATAACTAAAAATTTGAAAGGTTTCTTAGCCCTTGTCTCAACACTCACACCCGTTTACAGCCATACATATGATTTTTTAATTTTAATTTTTTCCGTCAACTTAACACTATTTTATCTAATTGAAAAAATATGAAAAATAAGAAATATTCATAATATCATAATACATTTTTTGATATTTCCTCAACGCCAAATTCAAGCACAAAAGAATATTTTTTTGAAAAAAAAAATAGCCAAAAATAATTTTTATAGTCTTAAAACCTTGGGAAAAGGCTCGAAAACATCTCAAAGTTCCTCTCAAAACACAATTTAAGATTTGTTTTTAAGAAAACCATTTTTACCATTTCCCACCTTTAAATCACCTTGACTTTATACTTTGAAAATGTCTGAAATAGTTTTGTTCATCATTTTAGTTTATCATACATTTGTATACATTGTTGTAGCCTCTAGTATTATTTTGCCTTTGGAATGCAGTTACAAATGATGTTTTCAAAGCGTTTTAATTCTTTGTATATAAGGAAAGACGATAGTTTTGGCACTTTGTAAGAAACAATCGACATAAAACCTTTGATACTGGTAGATAGAGAATTACATCAGTTACGCATCAAACAGATTTCAGAAGAAAAAAATAGAAGTTTGCAAATTATGACATAGAAAAACAAAAGATGATTGCAACACATTATGAAACGAAAAACTCGGAAGAGATGTGTCCTAGGTCTTTTGATCTCGGTTTACGTGTCCCATGGGGACACAACGTTTTTTTGTTGTTGTTTTTTGTGCAAGTAAATTCGGTTAGAAGACGTGTTTTGTGGGACGGGGGATGACAAATGGCGGAAAGCTTTGTGATTGTTACTGAATTTAAAATAATGTGTAATCTGAAATAATACTGCAAAAAATCATACTTCGCGTCTCCGTAACCTACAGAATTTATTTGTATCATTTGGTAAATCTTTCAACACGCATTTCGGTCTCAAAGCCGCAACGTATTCCTCCCGAGGACTCCGGCAGTTACTTATCCCAAGTCACTTACCCTAAAAGTGAGTCTTTCACTAAGACTGGCTGGGCCGCGGACGGGCTGCCACCATCTTCGTTAGTGGCGTACAGGCTGCTTTCTGCCTTGTGAGGGGCGTCACTGGAGCCCATGCGTAAACCTGCACTAGACAACCCGGCTGTTCGCATACGAGCAGCACTCCTAAAGAATCAAGAGAAGAGTTCAATTTTTTAGATTCTGGACATTAAGTAGGTTTTTATTGAGATACGAAAAATGCCATATTGTCAAGCTCTGATCAGGTTGCAAATTAAAGAAAAACTAGTGGTGCTACAACACATACTTTCTCGCCCTATTTGTAAATTTGCAGTTTTCGACAAGAGAAGAGAATTCAACGTAAATGAGATTTGCACTATTATTTTAAGAATCCATTCTTCTATCGTGAAAGAAAATTAAAGAAATAACTGAAACAATTTTTAAGAAAAAGTTTATTTTTAATGTGCCAATATTTTACGCCAAATTACACGAAAACGATTCATATTTTCGAATAATCGAACCTTATGAAGATCCGTCTTAAAGAAAGAGATTTCATTAAGGAAAAATATATATCTTCAATATCATAATTTTAGGAAGACACCCACCAAAAATTGTAATTTTCTAAAAATCTGGGATTTCAACGAACATGAGACCTGCGCCATTCTCTTAAGCGTCCTAGGACTCGCTATCCGAGGACAAAGTTTTATCAGAAAATTAGGTGCCATTTTTGAGAAAAGTTTGAAACTGTTTTTAAACTTCTTGTACCCTCGCAAATCAAAATATCCATTTGAAACTCCCAAAGCCTCGAGAATGTGTTTCGAGAAATGTGAAAAATCGAAACAAAGAACACTTATCTACCCCACATACGAGTTTTCTCGTGCGCCTCTAGCCTGTAGCGCGCCTCTAGAGCCAGAGGCAAATGAATTCCGCGCTCGAGTCGGTCAGCGAGCGAGTTTTCTCGGATATATTTCTACTCCTTTGTTGTATGACATTTAGTCATCACTGCCGCATGAAATCACTAAACAGTGCGCAGAAACGAGTGAGGTTAAAATATTTACCAGTAAAAGAAGTGATAAATAAGCAATTTTTTTTTCAATTTCTTACTTGAATTTTTTCTTTAAACGGAAATGAACTAGGAAAAACTGGTGTGGAATACATTATTTCTTGTAAGACAGCAGTGCATAATGAACAATATAAAAATAAATATTTGAAGCAAGAAACTTGAATGGGTATTTTGAAAGAAATGAATTAGTATTTTATTTTTTCTTAATTCACATTTATTTATAAATTAATTTACTAATTTGAATTTTATTAAGAATTATTTGATATTTCACTATTTATTCGTAATTCAACCAACAAAAACAGTAAAACAGCCAGGGTAGAAATATAGGAGCTCAAGAAAATTTGCATATAGACATAGATTGTATCTCTTCCTTATACGTCACAAACAGTTCCTACTTTTACATTAAATAATGATTTATATGAAGTGCAGTAATGCATTTCACTTTAGGGAATTCGAACTCTATCTCGAATAGATGTTTTAGGATTATGGAAATAAAAGGATTTCACGGATATTAATTACACAAGAGCATTTAATAAAATTAAAATAGGACTCGCAGCTCGTCTTATAGTTAACTGCTGTCACCACTCTCGGCTAGGGGCACATAAAAGCATTTAGAGTCATCAAATGACACATTTCTAGTGTGTGGACGTAACCTCACCGGCCTCTCTCCTCATATCTCGTTGCACATTTCAAGAAAATTATTCCTTGGTGTAGTCTGTTGTGGGTCTTATTCGTCCGAAAACGTGCCGCTTTCAGGCGCACGATTTAATAACTTTCTCTTCTTATGAAGTACCTTCGTAAGGGGGAGATAGTAAAAATGGTGTCGATATTGAGAATATTTTTGTTTACGTTTTGTCACTATCTTGCTGCCAATTACGCGAAAACGACTTTCTTTCCGAACTATATTTTCACATATTAAGAACATACTTCAATAAAAAACACTAACTTCAATAATTATGTTAAAACTAAAATACTTTAAGCGTTTTCCTACTTCTATTTCTCTGTAGAATGGGGCATAATATCGCGTGCAGATGTGTAAAGAAGAAATCGAGAAATTAAGGGAAGATTTCGTGCGTTTTGCTGATTTCGCTTCTCTCAAAATGTTTTAGATTTTTCACGGATCCTTTCTCTGTGTTTGGTGAGGTGTCAGATAAATTTCAAATGGAAGGCATACATGTAAATGCGATTTACTTCTTGATAAAAGAAGGAAGGAACAATTTTACGCCAGAATCAGTAAAGGAATGGATCCCAAAATTCGTCCCGCAGCTGAATGAGTGTCGCCTATGTTCGGCTCTACTTATATTTGTGAGCAGTTTTCTCGTATGAAAATCTAAAAAGAGTGTGGCCACAGGACGTAAAACACATTTCCGATTATTCACGAGGCATTTTTCTTTATCTTTTGAAATGTTAGATATATTTTAAATGGAATTTATATGGCTTCAATTCCATTCTGCACTGAGAGACTTGTTCGATGGAAGAAAGGCACAATTTTACGATGGATATATAATAGTAAAGATATGTATCTCAAAATTCGGGCCATAGTTGTTTGGATATCGTCTATGTTCGAGTCTATTTAGTTTTTGAGCAGTTTTTCTCGTGTATGAATTTGAAAAGAACACTAAGCTCAGAAGGCGAATGACACTCGCATGTTTGCAGGCAAAAATGCGAGTAGATGTGGCTTGAACGTTCACAACATTGATTCCATCACTTCTTAAAAAGAAAGTGAAATCTGATATTCTTGTTGAATAAATTCAATATGATTGTGTTTCTCGAATTAAGTTTTTCTTATTATTATTAATTCTCACAATGTTTCAAATCTCTTCCTTGTATAAATAAAATTAGAAATTTGATATCTTTAGGGGAAAAAAAGGTTAAGTTTATTACGACGGAATATTTGTGAATTAAATTTCTGAAGTGTGGATCATATTAACGGAGATAATGGTATGAATGTTCTTTACAATTTTGAAAATCTGTTGAAACAGTAAAGATTGATCACTAAATTTGTGGAAGTTGAATTATTGAATAGAAAATAATACTGTAAAAAGTCCAACCTGGCCTCTCCAGAACTGTAATGTTTCTGGCCAACATTTCAGTTGGCCCGCGCTTTGTTGGTGCGGCTGCAGAAGCCGCAAGCTCTGGACGCACTTCAGCACTTCCAAGACAGGGGAGTGAGTCTAGATCCACAGAGCAGTCTGCTATAAATGGGCCAGCAAGCGACACGGTGGCAGTCAAGTCTTGAAAGCTGTTAGTGACTCGTTGAGGGCTTAGTGAATTTATACTCTTTCGCCGACCGAGAATGCATCTGTTCTGTGCTCCGTTTCGATAATCGTGTCTACGCAACATTTTGGGAATGCTACTGGATAACGGCTACTAGAAGTTGACTTTGCTCTTCTCTCACGGCGCTTTCATGACAAGGAATTTAGTTCAAGAGTGGAGTTGAGAAACATTGCAATAAAGTTCACAATAAACTGTTGCTATTGTTACGTGGTGTGTTCCTATTAAAACATTTCCTGAACTAACATAAGTTATTCGTAATTCTCATTTATGTAATTCCTCAACCCTATTCTACACAGTTCCAACTTTGGCTGCAGAACTTTACTCCCACCGACAGCTCCGTTAGCGGTCACTTACCGAAAAAGTGAGTCTTTCAAGTAAACTGGGTGAGGCGTGGACGGGTTACCACCAGCCTCTGGAGTCGCGGACGGAATACCATCAGCTTCTTGAGGCGCGGTTGGGATGCAACCAGCCTCTTGAGTCGCGGACAAGATGCCACCAGCCTCTTTAGTCGAGGACGGAATGACAGCAACCTCGTGAGAGGCGTCGCAGGGGCCCATTTCCAAGATTGCACTAGACCATCCGGGTGTTTGTATACGAGGAGCGCTCCTGCGGCATTAAAAGAAAGTTCATTTTTTGAATATGTAGATTTAAATTAAGTAGGTTTTTATGAAAACAGAAACTTAGATACGTTGCCAAACAAACTTTATTCTATTCGAATTACAAAATTAATGAAAAAAAAATTGACGTTTTTGAAAACATTTTTGTTTGCGTATTTTTTATTACCTATCTTGCTCAAAATTACGCGAGAACGACTTACATTTAGTTTCTGATCTATACTTTCATATCTAAAGAACACTCTTAAATATACTACGTTAAATAATGACGGTATTTAAGGGCTGTAGTTCTGTTCCATTCGTACATTCCATCTTGTATTTGGAGTCGCTTCTTGTAAAAACGTTAAATTGAGGAAATGCAATGGAAAGTGTGGTGAAACTTTTATAAGACGCAATCTAAACCAACGGGAATTTTCTGAAATTTTGGGCGCTCTTTTTGGATGCTTCAAACAAAGACTTGCCATTTCACACGATTCGGTAACTGAGTCGGAGGAAAGTAGTGTTTGCACTTCGAAACAGGTTATCAAAGTCATAAAGAGAAAAATAATCCGGTCCCTAAGCTAAACAACTCTGTGTGATTCTTAGCTTTCATGCATGATATAGTTTATCATTTGAATAATCTGAATTCTCAATTTCAAGAATGAATGCGCTAATTACTAATGGGCGGCAAAAGTTGGGAGACATAAATATATGAAGTTAACGGAGATGTCTTACATTATTTCATGAAATTACGTCAACAATACGGCGTCAGAATACCCACAATTCTACTTGTGTCACTACTCTAAAGAATTTAATTCAATCGCATTTGCAGGTTTCAATATTTTTCGATTGGCTGTATTCTTATGAAACAGAGTGATTACCAGCCTCTGTATTTGAAAGGGAGAATGTTTGTATAAAAATAACCAGAAGATGGGGAAAAACAATGTCAAAGAGGAAATTAGAATAAAAATTTTAAAAAACCTTCTTTTTCATTTGCACTTTCATTCATTTAAAAGTTGGCCCGCATTACTCAGTTAATATTGCTTGCTAAGTCGCACTGAAACTCACAGAAGCAGATGGTTAGGTTTAATGATTTTTTTCGATTAACAGCAATGAAGCATAATATACGAGCCCAAATGATGTGATAGCTCATTTCCCTTCCTAATACCACCCTCTCTAGATTTAGATTTATTCAGTCAAAAAAAGAAAACGTAAAAATTATGTGACGTAAGGGGGGAAATATTATCTGAGCATGTTTTTATGAGTTCCACACTCCCTTCCTGTCATTTTAACTATAAATAGTTGAAAGATGAGTAAGAATAAATTCCGTGGTGGTAGCAGATATCTTGTGGTAATCCATGGTATTGTAAAGGAAATAATCACCACAAAAGTTTTAATAATTGTATTAACAATTTTTCATAGTTAACTTTCGGGAAACACTTTTCCCATCCTCAGTGGATCTCTAGCAAAATGAAGAAATGAAACATAAACATAAGTTGAACACAAAACGGGGACAGAACGGGGACAGAACGGGGACAAAACGGGTGTACAGTAAATTTAGTGGAAAAAGAAATAATATATAAATACAAAAGGAAAGTACTTACTGCTCAAGCAACGTGAATCTCCCATGAAAGTTCACAAACGGTCAAAATATAAATTGGCAAAACATGCTGGTTACAGCTAGGTGGCAACCATCTTTTCGATTGGGAGAAGAGGAAGCCTAACAATGAAGGGAAAGGGAGTGAGGGAAGAAGAGAAGAAAGGGTAGTCATAAAAAGACTACTCAAAAGAATGATTAGGGGATAGTTAATAAAATATTTAGAATGGGGCTGCATTTAATCAAGGAATGTTTATTCAAGATAGAAAAATTAGTGTTTTTGAAAAGTTTTAGAATTTCCAAGTTCTCCAAAATGTTCATTTTTGTGCCTTTGTTGACTAGGTGAAGAATTTTAAAAATATAAATGGGGTCAAAAGAATGGTTAAATTGAATCAAATGATTGGCAAAGGTAGAAGTGTCTAAATTTTGTTTCCAACATCTAATATGCTCATTAATTCTAACTGAATTTTTTTATGTAGGCCAAACAGGCAGAAAATTTTATAGTATCTCGCCCTTACCTCTACTCCTACCATTACAAGCAAAAGGAGAGTTCAAAAAAAGTGAGCATAGTGAAGCTACATTTACGCCCAGAAGCAAACAAGGGGCTATCTCTGCATTTGCTCAATGGATCTGAGAAACTGGACAAACACCTGATCGAGATGGGGGTCATTGACCCGGAAGCTTAAGTACATTATTTGTTACAAACATATTAAGTCTTTAAAAAAATATATACAATACAAATGTAAACTAATATATTATATATCACTGTTCTGTTAAAATAAACATTATTTTTCTTTTTGATAATCAGTATAGTCTCTAATTTTTTAGAAACAGTTATGCAGTTACGCTCTGACCCTTCTTGATTTCTAGTCTGTGAAGCACTCTTGTTACGTGGTGCATAAGCGAATGATCTCGCGCTTACGTTTTTATAAATTAATTCAAACCCGACGGAAAACATGATAAATTAAAAAAACTGGTGACGTCTCTTTATGCCGATTAGTCATTGTCACAAAAGCGGGATATTTGGCGTGCCGTTTTACTTGAAAAAAAAAAAACGAGGCAGGTACTAAAAAAGAATTTTCCCGCACCAGGTATCTCCCTCCAGTAAATCATCACCCCAGCCGAGACAAACTCTTAGCTCTTGACGGGCCTCTCGGCATGCGGGTTTGTGTAGGGTATGTTAGAGTAAGTGTGTGTAAGGGGTGAGGATAGGACAAGGAAGAGGCAGATGAGATCACGCGCGGTCCGTGGCCCGTTTGTTAGGGTACTGCTCCGGCATTCGCCTGGTGTTGATCGAAAAAACCCTGAAAAACTACCGATCAGAGCATCCGCCCGCTAGAATTCTCCTCCAGACTGACTGAATTCGACCTAGCTAAAGTGTCGAAAATCCTGCCACCGTCAGGACTCGCACCTAGGACCTTCCGGTCATAAAGACTGCAGTGACTTCAGATGATGCCCTGCAGCCATCTCTCCCGGTACGTGGACGGCGGAAATGTATGGTGTAATGTGTTCTGAAGGTAGACGAGACGTGACATATGCCCCTAGTGGTCTTTGCCCTCCCAGGAACCTTTTTACAAACTTCTTGCCCCTACTGACCCTCGTTGCCACCCAGTGGTCTTTGTCCGTACCGTTGTCCTCTCCAGTTCCGCAGCCTACTAAGAATCCTATAAAGGAGAGGAGCACTTAGACGTCCCCCAAAAAGCAACAAGGGCGAAGATGAAGAGCAAGCCACCGCGCACCGTGAACATGAAGAGAAAACGACTACGGAATTGAATGCAATCCCGAAGAGCAATGAAGACGTAACTCGGGTGATACAAAAACGCTCACTCCTCTACAGAATGTCTAGCGCTCAGGTGCTCACAGGCCGAGCGACGGGGCCGAGGTTCTCACGCTCCCGGACAGTTTCCACGCTCACAGAAGAACTACGCATAAAGAACTCGCCATTTGGTAGGCAGGCATCAAACGCTCCAACCCCAACTGTGCCAACGATTTCAAACATGTTTCCAATCAATGAAGTTCATTTATAATTACGACTTCCAGTATCGCAAGCACCAACGTTCAACGGTGAATTTTCGCAGTGGACAAAATTCAGATATGTATTCAATAAACTAATACATGAAAATTTACATCTGACTAATGTAGAAAAATGTCTACTTAGAAAATGCCCACAAAGGCGAAGCCCAATCAATCATTAGCAATTTAACTAACACTTCAAAAAATTACCAAGTAGCATGGCAATTAGTGAACGAAATATACAACAATCCTCAATCCTCTTCATATATAGCTAATTTTGAATGTCCGCCAAAAATCAATTAAATGAACCCCAATCAATTCAAAGATTCTCAGATCATTATATGGCTAATTATAAGGCATTGCAAGCATTAACGTTACAAGTACCGGCAATTCAACTTACCAGCCCTGAGGAAGACCACGGAAAAGATAGTCGAAACGTCGGCAACACAGCCTTCGACGCGGCGCCACCCGGACAGCCAAGATCACGCACTCACTCTAGCCGCGGAAGCCCACGATTTCAATTGAACTTATGGTTGGTTATCAACCGTATGTTTGATCACTGCCCACCAAAAATAGCTAGAGAATGGGAGAAACAGATAGCAACTAGGCCAATCTAACAAAACAGAACATGTATAACTTTCTTGAAAAATTGTTTCGAATCGAAGAAAATTCCCTATCAAACCCAGGAATCAATAAAAAACATCACAACAGTGGGTCAGGAACCAAATTTACCAGCGAACTTTCAAAATATGCAAAGTGTCCATTCTGCAAGGATTCGCATTCCATATTTCACGGTCAATCATTTAAATTATTATATCCAATGGACAGGCTAGCGCACATGAAAAAGAATCGACTTTGCTACAATTGCTTAAGAGCTAATATTGTAAACCATATGTGCAGCACAACGAAATGCAAAACGTCTAACAAAAACCATCACACTTTGTGGCGTGACTCATTCACAAATAATTCATCCTTTTTTAACGTAGCAAAACCGTGTTATTGTGAATCTGATAATCAAGCTTCGGAAATATCACCAGTCTCTCCTTCAAATAGCATAATGCCACTAGAAGAAACAATGCATCAAAATCATCAACAACCCCAACAAATAATGGCATGTCATCAATTAAAGCAACAATGGTACCAACTGTTAAGTTGATTGTTTTTGAGCAAAATAGTGAGGCTCACTTGATGCAACAATTAGCACATCAGCTCAAGCTAGCAACAAAGATGATAAAGCTCACTATCCAAACAATTACAGATAATGAAATGGAAGCATCATCGATAGTCAACGCAATAATTAAATCAAAGTTTTCATCACGGTCCTCTGAAAATAAATATGTTGTAGTCAACAAGATTGCAAATCAGCTACCGTTTACAAACATCAACATTTCAAGATGGATAAT